ACCTTCGTCAGGGCGCGCCCATGTCGTTGGGATTCGTGTGCAACGCGACCCTCCTTTACCCAAAGTTTCTCCTCTGGTATGACCCCCTCCTCGTTCCTACCTACCGTCTTCCTAAATGTTCTCATTTTTCCAGTTTCCTAGCACTGTTCCCCTGGACAACTGTCGTCGAGCGGGATATGCATAGCGCTCTATAAACGGGAATAACCGGGAAAACTAAAACTAACATTATCTTTTCTGAGGCAAATACAACCCTTCCTCCCACCAGCGACCGAATGCGACCAGCGCCCCCCTCCTGTTGCCATGTTAGTAGCCTAGCACGCAATGAATTGATAGGATCAAACTTAGATAAGGCCTTAGCAAGCAAAAGCATTGCACACTCCATGTTGTTCAGTCCCTTTTTGTAATGCTCCACGTATCCGACTTCTGGTGACACCGAACTCCACTAGGAGACACGTTGCTCATGGGACGAACAGGTTCTCGACTGAGAGGTTCTATTCTCATGAGCAGGCAGAGACTATCCAACGACCGCAAGCAAGGAAGGGTTTGGTTACCGCAGCTGACAAGAGGCTTGACACCTGGACCACGAGAGTGGAAAGCTGCCCACTTGTCACTAAACCACCTCCGCCGCGCTTAAAGACAGCTTCGCGATAAAAGTGTCATGGATAGTTGCTTTTCAATTATGAAACAGTAGCTGATAAGTAATTCCCCAAAGAAGAAAAAAAAGAAGAGTCCTCAAGAACACCATAAACAAAATCGCTCCCTGACAGTCACACCTCCCTGCGGTCTCTGTGCAACCCCTGGCTCACAAATCTCTCTATCACATCTCGCAGTAGTGATATCATCCAATGCAAAGAAAAGAATACAAAAAACAACAAAAACAGAGGAAAAACTCTTGAAAAGAAAAAGAAACTTTTAAAAACTCGGCGTCCGAATTTAGGGTTACGGTAGCGTGCATCTTTTAGTGTAGTGAAGTGCGTCGAGCTTTTGCACCACGAAAATTGGGTCGCTCGTGATTTTTACGCGCGTTTTACCTGCGAGATGAGTGGAGTTCACTGCATGTGCCCCTAATGAATAAAATGTGATAAAGGAGAGCAGAATCGAATCATTCATGGGCACAGCAGCGCGTCGTGAAAAAGGCATACGATCGAGTTAATGCCCGCCGCCGCCCCAACAAAGAACAACTGAGTGGCCCTCCGTCAGAGGGCATCCAGCAACTGGGCGTTCCACCTGCGCGGGCGTTTGAACTAGAACTTTTAGGCGGTTGTACCTCGCTAATCGCTCGCTGTGGAGTTGAGAGAGTGGAATAGTCTCTAGCTTGGGGCTGTACCTGACTGCACGAGGAAAGGAGCAGACCCATGATTTACATTGGAGGCGCGGGGCTGTCAACATTTCGAAGAAGGACGGAATGATAACAACTGTGTCTCCTCAGGAAGGGCAGTCTTTCCGGACTCAGAGGCAAAACTCTTTTATGTTACTTTCACTGTTGGCAATTATTAGGCCCTCAACCAAATACGAATAGCCGCAACTTTTCTGAATATATTCGTTTCATGAGAACTTATCCACGCGGACGGGGCATCCATCGCGTAATGCTACTGGATTATGACTTGTTGTTTTTCAATAGCTAGTAATTTCATATTTGTCACTGTCATGTGGTTTTTGTCTTATCATGCCACAGGATTTATCATATTCCTTTTATCGGATTTATCAAAGTGCTTCGGAGCTGGTGTAGTGGTTCTCAAATCCGGGTCGACTCCCGCCCAGGCCAACCAAGCCTTCTACCCTCCGGGGACGGTAAATTGGTACCAGATTCGTCTGGGAGGATAAAACACTGACTTGTACATCGGCTGGCCCCGCAAGTCATTGTATAGGCCACATCGCATTCAATAAGCCACTACGATTCTGAATGGAAGTAGAATGCGTGCCGCATCCCACAAAGGGATTGATTGGATTTTATCCTTTATCCTTTTATTATTAGACTTCCAACCTTACTTAGAAAAGTGGGGTAGCTATGGAGAACACTTCTACTCATAACTTTAGCACTTCCCAGTTATCAGCTACAATCCGATGAAGTATATGTATATTCGCTGAACCTCATCTTTAGGAGGTAGTTGACAGTTCCGATAACAAATATGACACTCATTTTAGCTGTCGGCGCCATTTTAGCGCTAGTATGGTGATTTTCGCCGTCGCCACACCCGCAGGGCATCATAAGGTAATTGAGGAGTTACGCCCTTAGAAGTAAAACCGGCGAACCGCCCGTCAGCAAGTCTTTGAAAGTGGTCCAGGTTCTTCGGAAACAACATTTTTCGGCGGAATCGGGATTTTTCATCACGCAAAACTGGTATTTAAAAGTTTAAGGAGAATTTGTGGACAAATGCAGAGCAACGAGCTCACCAAGGGGTCGAATCCATTGAACATTCCACACATTCAGAGGGCTCATTTCATGCAAGACATCCTTGTGAGACAGCGCTCTATGGCCTAGAATTCTTCCTTCTTTAGAAGTGAACCCAAAAATCAATTCCTTTCTCACTTTAAGTTCCTGAATATTGGCAACGTACTTCACGAACTGTACAAGTTCCTGTATTTATTTATTATGTATTTATATGCTTTTATGGCTTCAACAATGTTGTGAAGGCCGTAAAAACCTTCCCATGTTGACCTTAATATTGTAATCTCGATGTGTGAATAGCGTTAACAATTAAACTCTACAATCTTACAGCAATGGGGCTAGTTACTTCCTTTCTGATCCTCGTTTGCCTCTGGGCTGCAGTCTATGGGAATGGTAAGTCTGTTTTTAAAAGAAATTATGTATATAGTTTTTGCCTCTAGCTTCAAGACAAGACTGTAGCTGTTGCATCAGAGATGATAGGTCAGGAGATCCGAGGCACGGCATTGCGAGCAACACAGCTCGCGAACGCGAACATTCCTGTCCAGTTCGCCCGATGCCCTGATCTTTTTGTAATAGATATATTCCTTATATTAGGCGGTTTACATTCCTGTGGTTATTACAGTGCTTGAAAGTTGTCAAGGACGAAAACGGCAAGCCTCTGCAATGGAAGGGTATCACAGACAGAGAGACATACTCTACTGCAGGTCGGTGTTCAGTTTGCAGAAGTATCGCTTTTTGTCTCGGGAATTAACCTGGCCAGCTCGTTTTGTTCTTAGCTTGCGTGCGAATGATGAGATGGGGGACAGACCAGGCTGGGCTCATTATCAGTTTGACTGCGTAACTCTTCATATCTCGAAGATGGGTTGGGCGTGGCTGCGTCCCACTCGAGCCTGGCGCCAGTCTGACGTGTGATGGAACAGTTCATTATGATATTTTTGATGCCATCTAATTATCGCTTTTTGTCCAACAGAAAGGCAGAGATAACTGTGTCAAAACGGAATGTCAAAAAAACAAAAAGCGCACGCTGGCCATAGTTCAAGTGACGAGTAGCACGCCTTTCCACCTTCCGGGTTATGGAGTGCAGTTCATGGCATGCGAGGTGCGACTTCGCGTGCGAACAAGCAGAGCATCTTCCAGATAAAGGCTATACGCGGTGCTGTATTCCCACAGTGGCCGAGTGGGGGTGTTGGTTGCGCGAATGGCGCGCAAAGGTAACCTCTTTTTTCAACACGTCGCGCAACTCTTGATGTGCTGAATCACCCGCCTGTCGCTTCTCAGGCGCCTTGAAGGATCCAATAGCAGAACTACACTCTTTGTGACGCAGACGTAATACAAGAAGAGGCGATGGGCTAGACCTCCGTTGCTGCGCTTACCTGGCACAGCATGGTTGTTTGAGGCACATCGTGGGGGCGTCTCTATTGCTTGGGGGAGGGGGGTCGTATTTGATTCCGGAGACATAATTTATTTTGATAATTGATTTTCATTATTGTCGTAGAAAAGTGGGGGGGTTCATATTTTTGTTTTATATGGCATTATATGCCCCTGTACACCCGTTGGATAGACGTTGCATAGTTAGTTGTAAGTACCCCGCCTTACGCTCCCTCCCGCTCGCGACTTTTTCGCTGACTGTATACTCATTGATCCGTGCAGTTCGGCGAAAGAGCGGCCGTCGAGTGAGGGGGCGGGGTCTACCAACGGGAAAAAAAGGGGGGGTGGGCCGTCGTGGGGCGGACCATTCGGAGGGGGGGTCCGGTTCGTTACTTTTCGCTATCCCTATGCTCTTCCCCTCTGGTTACCTTACCCGTCCATAGCCACACAGGTGTCTGGGACTATAGTCCATTTGCGCCTGAGACCATATTGAAGCCACCTTGCCAGAGTGAGGACACTAGTCACGCCTTCTCATTTTTTTCCTTTTTTCACATTTTTCTTCTTCAGTACCATAATGACATGCGGTCAAGGATCGCACGTGGTCAGTATTTCGTCCGAGGGGTAGCGAAGCCCCCAGCTGTCAACATGAGAAAACTGGTAAGAGATTCTTTGAGGCCTTCGGAAGAACCGCATTATTTTACTTATCTTCCAGTTCTACTCCTGCTCGTTGGAGAATAGTGCCCAGGAAGTTGCTAACAGGTGCGTATTTGCGCATTCTAATCGTGATGGAAGGAATATTGGAGAGAACATCTACCGATTCAGGAGACAACAGTCAACCCCCGTACGACTATCTTCGTAATATCTCGATAAGATGACAGTTTTTGAGAATTATTTCCAGCTTCCAATCGAAGGGACCGGTTACGATGCTTGTAAAGCTTGGGAAGTTGAATTTGAGAGCTTTGGTTGGCCAGGTCTTCAATTCACGCACTACAGTTTGACAATAGGTATCGGCCACGCTACCCAGGTACCAATTCATCATCTGGTTATTAAGTATAGTGAGGAGTATTTATAGAAATAAACTTATATGTTACAAATACTCTATTATGAATGATTACGGTAGCATAAGCAGATTAGTCCGAGGTATTCTCAGTGGCTTTTTCGTTTAATTGGTGTCTATGTAACACATTTTTTACCTGCATGTGTCGTGTAGTATTTTCGGATATTATAATGTAACATCAACTGATAGTTTTTCGTAATTACGACGTCCTACTCACGTTATCCAATCAATTAGCATTCTTAAACCTCTCAGTCTTTATCGTTTTCAACTTTATACTTATAAACTTGCTGCAATTGATTTTTCTTCCTTTCCTTACTGAAGAGCACGGAAGGAGGAATATGCTTTTGCTCGGCTTCCGTCTAAGGGCACGTGCGAAACGGAAGCTGAGCTAGCGAATGTGAAGAGTGGGGAGGGTTACTTTGGAGTCGCAGCGAAACGGGCGTCCCATGAGTGGCAACGTAAGCAGCATCGCGCCAGGACCCAATCAAGGTAGCGGTGCTGCGGCGCGTCGAGTCTATCGATATCGATTTTCCTGTACGTATGGGTTTCTCAATTCGACTTGCTCTCCTTCTGTCTGTAGCTGTCTAGTCAACTACCTAGCAAATACCCTGCTAGTGGGCGCAATGCCGTAACTTAGAAGTAACGCTCCACACCCATTGTGAAGCAACTTCACGAGGTTGCAGAATGACGCAGTGCCTTTGAGAAAGCGTGGCAGGAAAACAAGGACCAAAAAACATAAAACAATCGGTCCTGACTAATTTCCCTCTCCGTGTCTCATGGTGAAACTCCCAGTGAACCATAAACTCACAAACCCACCACAAAATGGAAATTAGGGGTAGCGCACCCAATAGATAGTGACTTATCGGCGTCTTTACGATTTTTTTTCAAAAAACTTCAATTCCAAAAGCTACCTGGAATCCTGGAACCATTAACGATTTCATTCAGATGGCCTGGTGGAAGACTTCGATGATCGGCTGCGGTGTGCAGCAGTGCTTTGACGGAACTCGGCAAATCATCCTTGTGGTGTGCCACTATCAAGATACGTAAGTAGTCTATCATGATACTAGTAGAACAACCTCTTCACAGACAGTTCGGGCGTTGAAAATTAAAAGTAAGTGTAATTATGGGTCTGAGCCCAAGACAAGGCGCACTCATCAGTGGTGTCTTAGAAAGGGGCATTAAAGGTAGTGGTAAACTAATTAGCGCTACAGGGTAAGTCATAGGTGTGATAAATAGACTAATGCTATGGGCTAATTATGTCTAATAGGAAAGAAAGTTCTGGCCCCTAAACAGGGGATGTGCGGCGTATTTTGGAAGTCTGAGTCAAAGCAACTCAGCAAGTCCTGTTCATCCTGCCGCTCCGCCTTCGAACGGCCGACACACCCAGTATTCTCTAGCTCTCTGTGCTCTAGCCAATATGATACGGAGAGCGACAGCTGAGTTTATATTGTGATCGATGGCAGCTAACAATGCCACCGAACGAGACCAACGAATTACACAGTATTGTTCGCTGCAGCGTTGGGGCCTCTCTCAGGGTGTTTGGCGCGGCGCCCGGCCTGTTCCCCATCATTCGCGGATGCTGGCAGGCGCACACAATTGGTGGACGGTGGGCTAGCGCCGCGCCAAACACGTCCCCCTCCCTCTCTGAAACGCTCCAGCTTCAGCAGAGAACTAGACTGCACCTTTATTTCGCTTTTTATTGAGTGTTCCATTTCATTTTTCTTCACTCTGGGACCGCCCACCACCTCTGCTTTCACACTGGACTACCACCCAAATAAGCGCACACAGTGCCTTCAAGTCCAGTGTCTATACGGCTTCATATTGACCAAAATGTGAAATTTTCAGCGGAAACTGGTTTGATGAGGACATCTACAAGTCTGGTCCTACCTGCTCCGAATGTGGCGATGGCTACAGATGTGAATCGTCAACCGGGCTTTGTATTCTTTGACTGAAAGTACTCAAAGAAGTACAGTTGTTATAGCATGCGTGTGGATAAATGATCTGATCGAAACTTTCATCAATAGAATATCATTACAATAAATAAATAAACAAATAATTAAATAAGGCAATGCCCATTTTTTGAACGAAAATCTTCTAATCACAATTCAATCAATACATCAGATCATTCAGCGGAATGAGCTTTCAGCTTGTGCCTAAAAATTAGAACAAAAAAAAACTTCTGAGGGGGAACATGAATCACAGATGATTCTGTACTGAACAACATGGAAACTCTTGGACACAGTTCTATCGATGACAGAAAGCATAACCAGTATTGCACCAGCGTGTAGTAGAATTGAGGATATAATTGTAGCGGGAAAGTACTCCTTGTCAGTGCTGCTCTAATTTTTCTTCAATCGTAACCTCAGCGGTACTCGTTCGCATGGATCGAGTGCTGCAATCAGTTGTGGCAACCATATAAGCGCATGAGTCAAGCCTGAAATTGTAAAGAATGAAGCATTTGACATTATTAGGTCATTCCTGGATTAAGCCATGTATTCTTCACTCATCTAGAATCGCAGTGGCAACTTGAATGCGATTTGGCCTTTATATTGATTTGTGAAGAGCAATCGATGTGCAGCGAATATCTGGGGCAGGGTTGCACCATCATCGAGAGGATCCTATCAGGGTTCCTACTCGGTCGTTGGGACAAGGGGTCGTATGTGTTCAATAGGAACCTGACTGGTCTTGACAGAAGTCATTCAGAGCAGCGGAAGAAATTTTCTTGATTGTTGACTTCTCGCGATTTTTTTCGTTTCACTTGTTCTTCATCC